GATTTTTAAAGGTGGATTTCCTCACATGCACAATACTGAGTTTAAAATGTGGTTTCCAGATTCTTGGTTCGTTTTGATTGCTTTCCTAAAGGGTTGTACCAGTTAGCACTCCATGAGTGAGTGAAAATGATTGTCTTGGCACTCTCTTCAGCATTGATTATTATAATTTAGTCTTTGCTAATCTGGCCGGAGAAAATGTTGCGTTATTGAATTTGGCTTTCCTTAGCTTCTGGAACACTTAACCTGGTTTCCTTTTACCTCCACTGCACTCTTTGCTGGACCTTACTGTCTTTCTGACCTCCAAATACTGAAGTACCTTTATTCGCACATTCAAAACCCTATATCATCTGCCCTCTACCTACTTTTCTGACCTAATCTTCTACCACTTCCAGCCCCAAAGTCAGATTCAGTAAGTCATGAGCTATTTGGAGGTCAAACACCATTAAGGAAGTTGTAATCTAGGAAGAGCAGTACAAGCGGAAATCCTATTTAAATCAAGCAAAATAAGGCTTCAAGGAGTGTAAAAGGACAGTAAAGGGGAAAGTTGATGTTTGCAGGGCTCTTGTTTTCACTGATTTTTCGTGGTTTCTCTTGTTTGACCCTTTCCACGTACTGCTTCCTTGGCTTCAGCTTACAGACTAGTGAAAGCCAGCACACTAAGCAAGCAGCTTTTCGTTTGTCTTCCTCATTCTTTTGTAGCTTAAATTCCCAGTCTCCCACTGCCAATATGGCTTCTGCCTACACCACTCTGATGAAACTACTCCTAGAGGTTACCAAACACCTGCTAATTAAACTTAGAGACTTTCCAATTTGGCTTTATCTCCCTGGTATTTGTCAGAGCCAACACCTTTGTTTTTTGCCATCACACTTTAGCCAGGTTCCTCTGCCTGTCTGACTCCTTCGTCCCCCTTATTCTGGATTTTCCTTAATGTTCATATCTGTCACTCCTAAGTTCTTTCTGGATGATCTAAGCCAGTGGTTCTTCAAGTATAGTTTCCCAGCTCGCAGCATCAGCATCTGGGAACTTGTTAAAAATGCAGACCTACTGAATCAGAAATTCCGGGGAGGGGCCGCGGGCAGCACTTAACAAGTTCTCTGGGTGATAGAGACGCATGCTCCAACTTGAGAACCACTAAGTTTATGTCTAGCCATCTCTAATACACGTGAGACTCAATTGCAGAGCTCACTTTCTCTGAAGCTCTAGATGTGTATTTCCAACTCCCTCTTGGGCACCTCCATTTGGTGCAGCTATTACACAGATGAGCTTGGAAGGTTTTATTAGCGGAGAGATGAATTAAATTGAAACCCTTGAGATTTGACTAATGTGTGTTTGCTGATAAGATTACATGTCTGCCTTGAAATGCAGGTCGTTTAATGAGTAACCATCACAAAGTGTGAATTTATAAATGAATCCCTTACTGTACAATTCCCTTTTCTCACACTTACCAATGAGAATGAAGAAAAATATTCTAACTATAAAACTTTTCACCTTGTTCTTAAGTTAATAAGAGCCATGGTTGGGAATGAGGCTGCGTGGCTTCTTGAACTTTCTCTTCTGATCTAGCCAGGTATCTCTTAAGGCCTGTTCATGTTCAGTTGAACCCAATCCGAAGGGCTGAATAAACTACATCACACTGAAATTTGCTTCTGAACGTTGTGGCCAAAAGGCCCCCTGGTTTCCTGTATCTTCCGTACTCCCATCAGGGTAGATTTGCATTTTTCTCTGCACTAGGATGGGAAAGGTTCTAAATACAAACACTGGCTAACATTTAGCGGTAAGCGCCGCTAAAATATAAGAAGTTACGTTTATCTTATTTTTTGAGCACAAGAGAATTTTAAGCTGAATTTGCTTTGAGGTGTGAGTGTTTATGGCATATTCATCCCAGCCCCACTTAAAGGAAAACATTGGTATTGTTCAAGCAAGAAACCTTCATAGAATCTTAGACAAATTGCTTGGTTATAAATAACAGTGAGGCAGCATCTGCAGCTGTTACTGCTGAGGTGGAGAAAGTGTGTAGAGGCGTGAATAAGCAGCCCAAGGTTGTGTATTGTGATTCTTTTTCAATAGCAAAGGTGAGTGGTGAGGGGCAACTGATGGGCCATCTCTCAAAGGCCCTCGTGGGAAAGGCACAGAGAAGCCTCTCAAAACTTTCCTAGCAAGAGTGCAGTTTGTGGAAATCACTTGGATTGGAAAAGAAATGCCACGGGGTGCTCTTTGCTGTCTACAGAATGAGATGATGGCTTAGCCCAAGTGAAGATGTGATTGGATTTTTGCTCCTGAGAAAGAACAGAGTTCAGATTAATTGCTCATGTCAGATGAGTAAGTGAACAGTTTGAAGATCCTTGAGAGCAGCGACCGTCTGTCCTTCGGATGCTCCTAGCTCTGGCACTTGCATATACTAGGGGCCGCCTCAAGAACAGTTCAGTGGCGTTCCATAGCCTCCAGATGATGCCTTACTGAGGCGTTCATTGCCATCCACAGTCTGCTGCCCAACCTTTGGGTCATCTACTATATACTCACCTTTGAGACTGCTTGCCGTATGCTTCCTGCCTTCCTGCTTCTGCTCGTGCTCTTCCCTCAACCAAATAAGACATCTCTCTACCCTTGTGTTTCCATCTATCAAATATGCTCAGGGACCAGTCGTTGCTCCCTGCAGCTTTTCCTGATTACCCACCCCCCACTTCAGATTTCTAACAAGTTTCAGGTGTACAGCATTATATATCAGCATTTTGTGTACACTACAAAGTGATCACCAAAGATACAGTTACCATCCATCAGCATACATTTGACTCCCTTCACCCTTTTCACCTACTTCACAACCTTCTTCCCCTCTGGTAACTACTAGTCTTGTTCTCTGTATCCATGAGTTTTTGTTTTGTTTTATAAGATTCCATATATGAGTGAAATTATTTGGAATTCATCTTTTTCTGTCTGACATTTCATTTAGCATTATGCCCTTGAGGTCCATCCATGTCACAAATGGCAAGATTTCACTTTTTTTTTTTTTTACAGCTGAGTAGTATTCTATTATACATGTCACATCTTCATCCATCAGTGGACACCTCCATATCTTGACTATTGTAAATAATGCTGCAATGAATATAAGGGTGCATGTGTCTTTTCAAGTTAGTGTTCTTGTTTTCTTTAGATAAATACCCAGAAGCCGAGTAGCTGGGTCATACGCTAGTTCTACCGTTTTTTTGTTTTGTCTTTTATTTTTGGCTGCGTTGGGTCTTCGTTGCTGCGCGCGGGCGGCATGTGGGATCTTCCTGGACCAGGACTCGAACCCGTGTCCCCTGCATTGGCAGGCAGACTCCCAACCACTGCACCACCAGGGAAGCCCAGTTCTACTGTTTTTTGAGGAACCTCCATACTGTTTCCATAGTGGCTGCATCAATTTACATTCCCACCAGTGCACAGGAGTTCCTTTTTCTCCACATCCTTACCAACATTTATTTATCTTTTTGATAATAGCCATTCTAACAGGTGTGAGTGATATCGCATTGTCATTGGTTTGCGTTTCCCTGATGATTACTGATGCTGAACATCTTTTCATGTGCCTGTTGGCCATCTGAATGTCTTTGGAAAAATGTTTTTTCAGATCCCCTGCCCATTTTTTAATCGGATTTTTTGTTGTATGAGTTCTTTATACATTTGGATATTAGCCCCGTACTGGATATATGATTAGCAAATATCTCCCATTCAGTGGGTTGCCTTTTTGTATGTGTGTATGTTTTTTTTTGTTTGTTTTTTTGCCGTACGCGGGCCTCTCACTGTTGTGGCCTCTCCCGTTGCGGAGCGCAGGCTCCGGACACGCAGGCTCAGCGGCCATGGCTCACGGGCCCAGCCACTCCGCGGCACGTGGGATCTTCCCCGAGCGGGGCACGAACCCGTGTCCCCTGCATCGGCAGGCGGACTCTCAACCACTGCGCCACCAGGGAAGCCCTGTGTGTGTGTTTTTAAGTATAGCTGATTTACAATATTAAGTGTACAGCGTGGTGATTCAATATTTTTATAGATTATACTCCATTAAACGTTATTACAGGGACTTCCCTGGTGGTCCAGTGGTTAAGACTCCACGTTCCCACTGCAGGGGACTCAGGTTCGATCCCTGGTCAGGGAACTAAGATCCCACATGCTGCGCGGCACAGCCAAAAGAAAAGTTATTACAAAATAATAGCTCTAATTACCTGTACTGTACAATATGTCTTCATATACATAGTAGTTTGTATCTCTGCCTTTCTGTTTTGGTGTCTTTTGCTGCGCAGAAGCTTTGTAGTTTGATGTAGTCCCATTTGTTTATTTTTGCTTTTGTCTCCCTTGCCTTTGCAGTCAGATCCACAAAAACATTGACGTCAAGGTTATTGCCTGTGTTTTTTTCTAGGATTCTTATGGTTTCAGGTCTTACATTCAAGTCACTAATCCATTTTGAGTCAGTTTTTGTCTGGTTTCAGGTCTTACATTCAAGTCACTAATCCATTTTGAGTCAGTTTTTGTCTATGGTGTAAGATAGTGGTCTAGTTTCATTCTTTTGCATGTTGTGGCTGTCCAGTTATCCCAACACCATTTATTGACAAAACTGTCCTTTCTCCATTGTATGTTATTGGCTCCTTTGTCGTAAATGAATTGTCCATATATGTGTAGGAAAAAGAAAGACATTCAAATTGGAAAGTAAGAAGTAAAACTCATTGTTTGCAGGTGACATGGTACTATACATAGAAAACGCTAAAGACTCCATTAAAAACTGTTAGAACTAATAAATGAATGCAGTAAAGTTTCAGGATGCAAAATCAATATACAGAAATATGTAGTATCTTTATACTAATAACAAACTATCATAAAGAAAATTTAAGAAAATCCCATTTACAATCACATTAAAAAAAAAAACAAAACTTATTCAGCCAAGGAGGTGAAAGACCTGTACACTGAAAGCTGTAAGATGTTGATCAGCGAACTTGAAGAAGATGCAAATAAATGCAAAGATATTCCATACTCATGGATTGGAAGAATTAATATTGTTAAAATGTCCATACTACCCAAAGCAATCTACTGATTCAGTGCAATCCCTATCGAAATTCCAGTGGCAATTTTCACGGAATTAGAACAAATAGTTATAAAAGTTATACGGAACCACAAAAGATCCTAAATTGCAAAGCAATCTTGAGAAAGACGAAGCTGGAGGTATCATGCTCCCTGATGTCAAAGTATACTACAAAGCTATAATTATCAAAACAATATAGTATTGGTATAAAAAGACACAGAGATCAGTGGAACAGAGTTGAGAACCCAGAAATAAACCCATTCAGATTAAATTCTCTCTGTTGCAGCTGTATTGGAGTTCTGAGCCCATCTGCTTTGTCATTGCATTTACATGAGCAGTGTTCTCCATCCTACTCTCCACAGTGCCAAGTTTGAAATCACGGGGGTTGAGATGCCCACTATTGAATGGCTCTATGAGTAAGTGACTAAACTTGTCCAAACCTCAGTTTAGGAGATATTTTACCCATTTCACAGGATTAAAATTACGGAAGAATTAATTGAGAATTTTTTTTGGAAACTCAACAGTGATACATAAACGATAATTATTTTAATTAACTTCACTATGGGGGGTGTCTGTGAAGTCAGGCAAGTCTTATACGTTGTTGTCCTCTCAGTAAATGTTTGATAACAGCTGTTGTTTATGTTCTGTACCAGCGCTTAACAGCCTCGCAAAGAGTAGAGTTTCAGTCACTTGACTGCTGAATTAAAGTAGGGAGCTGGTAGAGGAGAGAGGTGTAATTTTTATACTGAGGAAAGTACTTGAAGGCAAAGTCTCAGTCTCCAGCCTCAATGTTCAAGGATTTAGGATAGACAGGAAAGGTAGTTGATATTGGGTGATGGATGGTGGTAGGAGAGACATTCCTGAAGTAGGGGAGGACCCCTGGCAAAGTTTTGCCTGAGGGCTAGAAATCAAGCTTTGGATGGTGAAGGGTTAATAGCTTTCCAAGCCTGACCTTATTTGCATATTACTAAATTCTACCCTTCACAGTCATTCTAAACACCCACGGATTTGTGTATTCATATCTGCCTACACATTTCTATTATCTTTTTATATATATTTTTTCTATTATCTTTTTAAAAACACTTCAGCATACCTGTGTCATACTACTTGCACCACAATTTTACATAACTGGATACAAAGAAATCCAAAATGAAATAGCACAAGCAGCAATTTAGGCAAGGCTGTTTATAATTCTACAGTTCAGTAACATTGTCCGCATAAAGGGCCACGGATGATCTTGGGTATTTGCAAATGCAAAGAGCTTTCCAAGGAGAATGAATAACATTTTGAGTTCTGAGCAAAGGTGCACTGTACGTGCAAAATGGAACATAGCTGTCACCAGGCAGAGAACAGTATTAGGAATCTTACTTATGGGGCGACCTTAACCTAAAATGATCTTATACCTGACAGGGAATGTAAGGGAATGAGGTGAGGAGATAAGCCCACGATTCAGCCAAGGAAGGGCTCTCTTTTCCCTTGTTAAGTTCTGCATTTTAACTTCAGGAAAGTGAAGGGTGTTTGGACAGATCCCATTGACTGCTGCTCAACAAGGATCCCCTCTTCTGTTGCTGGATTTCTAACAGGGTAGCAATGTGTGTGGCCTCCAGGGAGGAACTGATCCGAGCTAGTCCTGGCAACCCTGGTATTCTCCGCTAGGTACATGAATACACTGGTTCCCAGCTTCTCAGTTCTGGCCACTGAGATGTAAGAGAGTCTGCTGGGTTCTTCTGAGAATTATTTTATTTCATAATAAAAAGAGACGAAGAGGGTCCCTCCCTCCCTCCCTGCTTGGATGAGTACTTGATGTTTAGTGAAGCAGGAGCCATTCTGTGTTCAAGAAGGAGAGGCCAGGAGAATCTGAAAGGCAACAACCCAGGCCCCTGTCACTGAACTGCTCAGGGACCCCTGGAACCTAATTGTTTCAAGGTGGTTCTGTAAATAGTAACTCTCTTTATGGTGACTTTTCCCCAGTCAGGAAAGGCGGTTCCGGGCTTCAAGTCTTTCCAGTCAAACTGAAGTTGAACAGAAGGGGACTGCCTTGTGCTGAACCAAAGGACAGTACAGATGTAATAAGGCCGTTCAGCTCAGGACATTCCCTGGAACGCTTTCTCCTGAGAGCTGACTGCTCTCAAAACATAGGTATTGGGATAATGGTTACACACGTGACTTCCGTCTTCTCCAGTTCACACAGTGAAGACACCATTCAGAAAGTCTGTCAGTGTACTAACATTTATTAAAGACCTCGTGAGCCCCAGCTGCCACTATGTGCTGGGCACTAAAGACACAAGCTAGAGGCTCTGCCTTCTGGGAGAGAGACATGAAATAAATATTCCACCAGAAAGTAATGACAGTTGGGATCAGTGCTGCCTTAAGGGTGCCCTGAGCGTGAGTAACTGGGATGCAGGGGTGGGGATGGCAGCAGTGACCAGAGGAGGCTCCCCCGAGCGAGGGGCAAGGAAACCAGTCACCCTCTTCCTGGTCTGCCTGAGGATTCTTCAAGTGAGAAGCAAAGAGAGCAGGAGGGATGGAGAGGACGAGATACCAAGAAACGGAGGCAGAAGAAATGACGGAACTTGGTGATGAATCCATGCGGAAGCGAGAGGGGTTAGAGCCAAGGCCTCTCAGTGGCCAGAACCGAGGGCTGGGCACGAGTGTTCAGGGATCTGGCCCACAGGCCGCTGGCCTGGGCTACCGGGTGGATGGACGCACATGCGCACACTCATCAGTGTGGTCGACTGCAAAAGCGGACCTCTTCTCCTACCCCTCTCTGCATCCCAGCCCTCTCAAATGTGGCTCTGCAGCTCTCTCCACCAAGGAGTGGAGTGCACTTCCCTCCCCTGGGGTGTGGGCTGGCACCACGACTTGCTTTGGCCAAGAGAAGGCAGCAGGCATGATGGGTTCCTCCCGGAGCCTAGGTCTCGGGAGGCCTGCTGACACTTCCACTCACACTCTTGGAACTCTGCCCAGCCACCATGATCCTGGCCCGCCTTCTGGGTGAGGAGAAACAGTGGCTCAGCCACTGCCCCTCCCACCACCGCAGCCGGCAGCCGGCCAGCTGCCTGAGGACACCAATCTGGAGCCACCAGCCAGCCCCCACCCCCATCGCCCCTAGCCCGCTGCCACCAGCCCTCTACGGATGCACGGAAGAATGAAAGCCTGCGGCCAACACCAGCTGAGCCGGGCCTGGATTAGGATAACCACTGCCCTGACCTGCAGACTGGTGAGCAACCGTGAGGGATTGAAACTGCGGTTTCAAGGCAGTAAGTTTTGTGCAGTTTGTCAGGCAGCAAAAGCTAACTGATACAACCAAGATGGAGAAAGGGGTGAGTGAGGGTGGGCCTGTCTAAGAGGCAATTGGACCTGTGAGGCTGGAGCACAGGAGGCAGAAGCCTGAAGGTCTAACCTGCAAGGACAGATCCCAAGCCTTTTTTGCCTTTTTGCCACTGTGGGCTCCCGAAACCCAAGACTGGCCGGATTTTGCTTTTGTGTCCTCTTCCTCCCTCTTCCACGCCCACCCTAAACTCCGCTTTACACTTAGAAATAAGTACTTGAATGATGAAGCCAAGGCGTGACTCAAGTCATAGGACGGTGTTTGATGGAGGATTAGTCCGGAGCCAGAGCTCTCAATTAGCTTGTTGAGTGCTCTCTAATGAGTCAGCTCAGCCAGCACCAGCAGCCAGGGGCTGGGTTCGGAGGCTGAGCTGTTGACAATGGCTGTCCCCAAGGGGCCTTCACAAATCTGGAGCAAGGTCACAGTGTCTGCAACTCCCTTATACTGATACTAAGTCAGGGCTCTTTATCCTAATAATGTCACCCCTCAGCACCTTTCAAAAATAAAAAGGGCAACATTCGCCAGGAATTTATCCTTCCCATTGCTGCGGCAACGTCCGACCGATTGCATTTTTCCTTTCTTTCGTCCCCCAGCTCATAATTCTGATCTCTCTCATAATTCCGGTCTCGCCTCTGCAGGATGGAGGGGGCCGCCAGGGCTACGCAGGCACAGCAGAGGCCGGATCTCCAGGGCCCGGAGGCCGGAGCAGCGTAGGCCCCCGGCAGAGCGCGTCAAGCGGGTGCGCGCGCCGCGGTGACGGTGCCCTGGGCTCTCCGGCTCCGCCCCCTCCGCGCCGCTGCTGGAAGGGGCGGGAAGAGGAGGAGCCGGAGGCGGCCGTGGGGCCCCCAGCGCGCCCAGCCCTTTAAAAGCCGCCGGCCGGGCTCGCCGCACCGGCGGCCGAGGTCCCCGCGCACCGGAGTCCCCGCGCTCCACCGCGCGCTTCATGCGGCCGCCTACCATGTCCGGACACTTTCTGCTCGCACCCATCCCCGAGTCCTCCTCCGACTACCTCCTGCCCAAGGACATCAAACTGGCCGTGCTGGGCGCCGGCCGCGTGGGCAAGAGCGGTGAGCGCCCCGGGGAAAACGGGGGCTCCCGGCGGAGGGGAGGGCGCAGGGGGGCTCGGACGGTTCCAGGCCGCTGCCGGCCTCCCCCCGCCAGCCTGCTTTCCCGCCGCTTCCCCGGGCCTTGCACTCCTGAGCCTTCACCGGCGGGCACCTGTTGGAGAACGGGTGCCGGTGCGGCGCGTAGCGCACCCCCGGCCGCACCCGCCCCAAAACCCGCGGAGGCCGCGGCCGCACCCTTGCCCCTGCGGAGCCTGGGGATGCAGGCAGCATCCGCGGTACTGCGGCCCGTCACGCCCCCATTTCCCCGAGACGGTCCCGGTTTGACCGTCTCGTCCTAGTCCTTCAGCTGATTTTCCTTTCCTTTTCAGCAATGATTGTGCGCTTCCTGACCAAGAGATTCATTGGCGATTATGAGCCGAACACAGGTTAGGTTCGTTTCGTTCTGTTGAGGCTGCATGCTCTGATTTTCTTTTTCCTGAGGAGAGTGTGAGAATTTAAAACTCAAGTCTCCTTCATTCTCCAGGCAAGTTGTACTCGCGGCTCGTGTGCGTGGAGGGAGACCAGCTCTCCCTGCAGATCCAGGACACTCCCGGGGGCATCCAGGTAAGGACTGCCAAGAGCAGGCGGCTCCTCCGCTTCCAGACGCCCGAGCCAGGTGTCTGGGCACGCCTGTTACGCGCTCAGATGGAGGGGTGCGCCGTACCCAGGTGGGGCCAGTCGTTGGGATGTTAGAAACCGTCCACGATGGGGGGCGGGGAGAGTGGATTGTTATAGAGGCCGCCTTCTGCTGTCTGCCACCTCGGAAAGGGGAAGAGATGCTTAGCTTCTCTTCGCAACCCTGGCCGGGGCATCACTGGTTACACGGGTCTCACCACTTCTGTCAGGAGCAGCTCAGCCTTGGAACCCGGAACAAAACTATGGGGGTGGGATTCTGGAGAGGGTCTTCTCCCCTAGCAAGGTCTGCTGAAGCGCTCCTGTTTCTCACTGTTCCTCTCAGTAATTCCAATCAGATAACCCCACGGCAAGCCGTCAGGAATGTAACTTGATTAACAAGTTACTAATTGCTCTCCCTTCTAGGGAGGAAAGGTCTTGTGGAAGAACCGAAAGAAGGAATTTGTTTCCTGTAACATTCTCATGAAGGACATGCTAAAAATATTTTTATGGGTTGGGGAATAGATATTTATCTTGGCTTATTTTCAAAGTTCTGTTTATTCTGAGTTAGTTCCCTAAAAATTGCGCCATCCTGAGTTGAAGTTCTCATTGAAGTCATCACAGACTGGTTCATCACAGGCTACCTGCCAAGCAAGGGGGTTAAAAGTAATGTGTTGGTAACAGCTAATAAAATAACCCAGGAAGGGAGCTTGCCTGAGAATTGGCTCTTGCCATATGAAAAGCTTCCTTCTGCAGAAACTGGGTAGAATCTGAAACTATATTTAGTGATTTCTTGTTCAAACGTTTTTTTCAAGGGTGGCTTTGATGTTCTTTCCAGTTTCTCCCACCGAGAGCTTCCTTGATCCGGGCTCACTTTGCTCTTTTCAGGTCCAAGACAGCCTCAGCCCGGCAGTCGACTCCCTGTCCAAGTGCGTGCAGTGGGCAGAGGGCTTCCTGCTGGTCTATTCCATCACGGACTATGACAGCTACCTGTCCATCCGCCCCCTGTACCAGCACATCCGGAAGGTCCACCCCGACTCTAAAGCCCCCGTCATCATCGTGGGCAACAAGGGGGACCTTCTGCACGCCCGACAGGTGCAGACCCGCGACGGCATCCAACTGGCCAACGAGCTGGGCAGCCTGTTCCTGGAAATTTCCACCAGTGAAAACTACGAAGATGTCTGTGATGTGTTTCAGCATCTGTGCAAAGAAGTGAGCAAGCTGCACAGCCTCGGTGGGGAGAGGAGGAGAGTCTCCATCATCCCCCGGCCGCGCTCTCCCAACATGCAGGACCTGAAGAGGCGCTTCAAGCAAGCTCTGTCCTCCAAGGCCAAGGCCCCCTCCTCCCTGGGGTAGACCCATCTGCGCCGGATGGACTCGTCCCCTTTTTATCACGCATTCATGCAGCTGAGAAGACTGGGGGTCACCCTTTTTAATCACACATTCAGAGTTTATTTTTATACAAACTATTAGTTTTCAAGTGTATGTTTATTTCTGAAAATTCAAACGGTGATTGCCTAGAAGTTGGATAGTTGTTTTTTTAATAAAAGATTTTTTTAAAACTGTAACTGCTGGCCACTTTTCCATTAAAGGCAAATGGCAACATTGCTCCTTGTTTTTAAATGTCTTTTTATAGAAATCATACTTGCACCAGAGCCCAGAACTGCTCCAGGCTTACCCCCAGTCTGAACTCTGATTGGTGGCTCCTGCGGGGAGGGGTTGATGCAGAGGGAATCTGGTGTGGGAGAAAGGACAGTCTGTGGAGGAGGAAAGGGATTTGAGTAACTGCAGGATGTCTTTAATTAGGCCACTTTGCCCCGGGCATGAAACTGACACCATGTGATTTTTCAGCGGAAGGGGTTCATTGTGCACAGATGCTAAAAAAGTATGACATGAATAACATTATTATTTATTGGTGTAAATGGGAGTTTATCCTCTCCACCAGTATTAAAAAAACAACTCTCCTTCCAGCATTCCCGTTGTCAGTAAGTGCACCCTTCCTGGAGTTGCCGGAAAATTCTCCATCCCTCTCTGTCTCCTTTACCCTAACCAATAGCGCACCCGGTCTGTCAATTCTCTCTCCTATTTTTCTCTAAAGCATCACTTTGCCTTAATCCAGGCTTTTACAGCTCGTGCCTGGATGGGCAAGCAAGCGTGTGGGCGAGGCTCTGGTTTCTTGGCTCTAAATCTTTCGTCACACCAGGACAACCTTACTAAAACCAACCCTGATCATCTTATTTCCATGACTGAAAAAACTCAGCTAGTTTCCCCTTATCTGCCGGATAAAATATAAATGAGGCATGGAATGAAGATTATTTGCCACCTCTCCACACTCATCATCCCCTCCTTCCAAAACAAATGCGCGCGCATGCGCACACACAGCCGACAATCGATTCCAACAGAACGCTCTGACTTTCTCACTCTTCACCAGGTACTTTCATGCCTCCCTGCCTTGGCGCGAACTACTCCCTTGAATATTTTGTCCTATTCTCCACCTAAAAGATCTTTCAAGTCCCGAGTCACATGCTACATTCAACTCCTGGGGTGCCTTCTCTGAGTCTTCCTCTATTCCTGTAGCATTTGTGTTATAACCCAACCTTTCCATGAAGCCATTATTTGTCACCCCCATTGGAAGGAGCACTGCTTGAGGGCAGTCGCTGCATTTTATGACTTTGTATTCCAAGCTTCTAGCCCAGTGCTTGCACATAGGCTGGTAGGTTTTCAGTAAATATTTGATGAATAAGTGAGTGACTACATTGTTTTTGGTGCCAAGGACAACCATGGCAGATTACAATGAAACAACTTGCCACTTCTGCAGAACGAGGACAGGAGGTGTTCTCAGTAGTTGAAGGTTCTTTATTAGCGGTGACAGGAAATGACACATGCAGCTTCTGGCCACTGCGGACCATCACCCTTGACTATGTCCAGACCTGTGATGGAAACACCACCCTTCCCTATAGTTGGGGGGTGTCTAGGCAAAATGCCATGAAGGATTAATAATGTTAGATCATTCACATCTAAAGGTGTATCCAAATAAGAAAACAAGTATATTTTGGATTCCATTATCTTTTGTTGTTGTTTGGGGGGGATCGTTTTGGATTCCATTGTGTTTTAAAACGTGCCTAATTCTCCTTGTTCTTTGCACACTCTCAGCACAAAAGGAGTTCTTCCCATCATCAGCCATTCCTGCTTCCTACCACCCATCTTAACACTGAGGCGTGGACATGAGAGCAACTGGCCCTCCTAACTGCTGCCACGCCCAGAGCGTGCCCAGGTGGCACCGGTGCCGGGGCTCTTCCGCCCTCAAGGAGCTGAGATCAAACATCCCATGAGGAAAAGGTCAGTCATAATGTAACAGCTACAGAACAGCACAGGAGATGCCCCAAGGCAGCCTATGATTCTGTTCCACGTGAGCGAGCTTGGGGACGGGAAGGGCCCTTGCGCTTGCCAGGATCCAGCCCAGTGTGGTCCGGTGGGGCCAAAGGATGAGTCATGGGGCAGTGCCAGAGGGAGTAGCAGCCTCAGGGGCTCGGGCAGAAAGTGGTTCTCCCGTCCTCAGCATCACAAAAAACTGACTTCCAGGGCCACAGAGCTCCCTCTCTTCTCTGGTCCCCAGATCCGGCCCTGCACAGCACCTGGCCTCTGTGTCTCATGGGGACCTCAGTGTCTCTCCTGATGGCAGCGGGGTCTCTTGAGGGTCAGGTGCCTGGAGAATGCCTGTAACGGTCCTGAGATAGCAGCGCTGGACATAGAAGAGGGGAGGCTGGAGCTATCAGGAGACAGTTACGGGGGGAACGTTGTCAGATTTCTGTGTCGGGAGGTGGAGCTGAGGATTTGGGCTTGACTGGGCCCCGAGGAAGCCCTTAGAGAGGAAGCTGGGCCCTGAGCCAGGTTCTTCCCTCCAGAACCGGGAGGACAGGGCCTTCAGAGCCCTGGGTGTCATTATATTGCTGACGGGGGCAGAACTCCTGAAACATTAGGCAGAACATTGAAACCGTAGGTGGCTGTGGACAGGACAGTCTATGCATTTTCATTTGGTAGGTTTGCCTTACCGCCAAGGTGTCATCATCAGTGTGAGGGTCACCTCCATCCTCACAAGGGGGGAGGAGCTACAGCATCCTTGGTCTCTCTTCACCACCACCCCACCCCCGGCCATCCTCACTCTGTCTTGAAATTCCTGAGTCTCTCTCCATTGGCACCACCCATTCTCCTTCTGGTCAGGGCTCGGCTTTAATTCTGCCCTCCAACTGCAGAATGATTTAATTCATGTGCCTATCAGTGAGGTTCTAGAAGAATGGACGGGATCCAAATGGCTCAACTGTACATGCTGCAGTCATGCTGTACTTCACATGTGACCTATGAAAAGCAAACTTGAATGATGGAAAAATAAATCAATTTGAACAGAAGGAAATAAATTTGTTTTGCTCATGTTGAGGTGAAGGGAAGTTCTGAAGTTTATTAATATCCATTTAAAGAAATGGATTAAAATAAGTAGCGTGGAAGGTGGCAGTGAACAAAAGAGCAAATAGGAAAGACCAGATGACTGTTTAGTCATGAATGTGGGGCTCGAGTAGCTTTTTTCCCTTGTATGTGTTGCAACTTTAACTTCTCATTATGCAAAGTTACCAATTCAAATTTACAGTGGGAAGATACTTTGTGTGATTAATAATTTATTCTTACCATTGGATCTGTCTCCAAAAGGAGGGATATTTTGAAAGACTTTGTTAAAATTCGTCTCAAGCTGCTTTGACACTCAATGAGAAAGATGTGATATAGGGGAAAAAAATCCCCAATTATCTTCCAAACACCATTAAGTTAGCCAGAGCTCAAGGAGGAGTGAACTGATGTAAGTGATGATTGGGTTGTGATAGCAGACATCTCAGCATAGAGTAGAAATTTGCTAAACCCGGATGAAACATAGTCATCCCTCATGTTTGGATGCCCTCGGGTACCTCCGTCCAGTAGAAAATTAACTTTGTTAGGGCCAGACGTGTCCTCCTCCAATTCAGCTCCATAGCATCTGTGAGACTCTCCCATACATGACAGCATCCCCCAAAAGATATTCTGGGCGCCCTCTATCAAACTGTCAAAGGTGGCTCTTTGCCTCTTGGTGAATTGGAAAGAGAATGTTCTCCAGACCATGGCTACTTGAGCAAAATAGGTATCATCCCTTTTTTAAAAAAATTATTTTATTGAAGTATAGTTGATTTACAATGTTGTGTTAATTTCTGCTGTCCAGCCAAGTGATTCAGTTATACATATACATACATTCTTTTCTGTATTCTTTTTTTTTTTTTTTTTTTTTGGGGGTCGCGGGGCTCTCACTGTTGCGGCCTCTCCCGTTGCGGAGCACAGGCTCCGGACACGCAGACTCAGCGGCCATGGCTCACGGGCCCAGCCGCTCCATGGCATGTGGGATCTTCCCAGACCGGGGCACGAACCCGTCTCCCCTGCATCGGCAGGCGGACTCTCAACCACTGCGCCACCAGGGAAGCCCTGTATTCTTTTCCATTATGGTTTATCACAAGATATTGAATATAGTTCCTTGTGCTCTAGAGTACGACCTTGTTGTTTATCCATTCTCTACATAATAGTTTGCATCTGCTAACCTCAAACTCCCAAGTATCCTCACTTTCGATTTCCCTCATCTCTTTGTGAAGAGCACCTCTGCAGTGACTCCCATGATTTCAAATTACCTGCAGGTTATTGAGAACCTGCTTCAGGCAAGGCCCTGTGCTGAAGGGTGTGGTGTCTGGATGACATTCCTTCTCTGGGAACTCAATCCAGCAAGAGGTCTGGGGGCCGCCTTGTGGGTGGGACTCTGGGGGTCTGCGAGGTGAAATAAGACGCTGACCCAGATGTGACGGTGTTGGCGAAGTTAGCAGAGAGTGCAGATCGCAGAGCTGAGCAGGAGAAGAGGCAAACACCCCAGAGACCGGGAGGAAGTGGCCTTCCTTCCTTTGCAGATTGTAAAGCATGATTTCCTCTGAGCATCGTTTTATGTTCGTGAGGACCAATGCGTTACACTTGTAAAACACTTACTGCCATTTCTTACCAGCATTCTCTATTTCAATCAGAAGAACAGGGACTTTCCTGGCGGTCCAGTGTTTAAGAGTCCGCACTTCCACGGCAGGGGACATGGGTTCGATCCCTGGTTGGGGAACTAATATCCTGTATGCCCGGCTGTGTGGCCAAAAAAAAAAAAAAAGGAAGAACACTGTTAACAGCAAGGCTTACTTATATAAACAGATTTTGCCTGGAAACACTCACATGGATTTGTTGGTTTTTTTTTTTTTAATTAATTTATTTGGTTTTGGCTGCGTTGGGTCTTCGTTGCTATGCACGGGCTTTCTCTAGTTGCGGCGAGCGGGGGCTACTCTTCGTTGCGGTGTTCACTGGCAGGAGCTCCTGAATGAGGGAAGGCTCACGTGATAGTGAGGGCTGAGAAGTTCCAAGATCTGCCGTCCGCGGATTGGAGACCCGGGAGAGCTGATGGTGTGGCTCTGGTCTGAAAACTGCTGTCTCAACATGCAAGAGCAAGTATACCAGCTTGAGCCCAAGAGGCAGGAAAAGATGGATGTCCCAGCTCGAGGCAGTGCGGCCTCTTA